CGGCTGGCTCTGACCGACTCTGATCTGCCGCGGCTGACCCGGCGCTGACCCGAGCTGACCCGGGGCCGACCCGGGCTGACCCAGGGCCGACCCGGGCTGACCCGGGCTGACCCGGCGCTGACCCAGGGCCGACCCGGGCTGACCCGAGCTGACCCAGGGCTGACCGGGCAGGGTCGCCGGGTCGGGCCGTGCGCCTCGGTCGTGCCCCGCTCCACCTCACTCCCGTCCCGGTCGGCCGGCCGACAATGGTGGCGGCCGCGGCCGGCGCTGACAGTTCATCATTTAGCACGGTGTCGTGTCGGCCGTCAGCAGCACATTGAGCGGCCGCTGCGTGAAATCACTGCATTGTGCCGGCGCGGCCGGGACGCCGCTCCGTCCCTCTGGCTGCCCATCTGCCGGCGTCGGCTGCCTTTGTGCAGCGGCCGGCGCGGCCGTGGCCGGTCGCTCGCTCCGCCCTGCCGTTCCGCCCGGCCGCGTGCGCCGCTGCCTTTACAGCGCAATTCGCCTCGGCCGCGCCACAATGGGCGCAGCGCGTCCGACGCCATTTTGTTGGCTGTTGTCGCCATGTTTGCTGCTCGGGATGGGCCAGATTACAAACTTTCCGCCCGATCGGCGGCGGGGCTGACCGGGGGACCGAGATCTGACCCGGGCCGGGCTGACCGGCCGGCCGGCGCACACCTGACGGTCCGCCCGTCCGGGCGCTCCCGGCCCGTCCTCGAGCGGTGTGCCCCTGTCACCGCCGGCCGTCACCGGCCGTCACCGGCGGCCGTCCATCATCGGCGGCCAATTTGTGCGCGCAGCCGGCGAGTAATTGTCGGCGCGGCGGTGACAGGTCGCGGGGCCGCGGCCGTGTCGCCGCGGACCGCCCGCCGGGCCGGCGCGCCCGTCCGCGCCCCGCCCGCTCCCGGTCCGCCTCCTCAGGTAGCCGAGGAATCCGCCACCATTCATGCGCACCTGGCTGGAAGTAATGGCGCAATTATCGCTTCCGCGGCCGCCCCGCCGCGCCGCCCGGCCGTCCTGCCGTCCCGCCGGCCGGCCGGTCCGGCGCGATGCTGTGCCGCCGCGGCGGCCGCCCCGGGCGGCGGTGGCGGCGGCGGCGGCGGTGCGCCGGACGGCGGCCGCCATTCTCCGGCGGTGACTTGGTGGCGGCGGACGTCCACGCTGTGCAGTGGGCCGCGGTATGAGTCCGAACCGGCTGGGCGTGCAGGCAGAGCTGGGACCGTGCGAGCTGGCGTTCGCAGACGTCAAGAGGGAGACCGGCTACCGGGGCGTCGGCAGGTGAGAGGCGGAGGGGTCGGCAGAGCAGCGCGGCTCGGGCGGAGCGGAAACGGGCCGCTGCGGGTCGGCCGGCCGCCGGCGGCTTTCTCGGCCCCGGCGGCTGGGGCCGCACCGGGCCGGCCGGCCGACTGCTTAAAATGGACAGCGCTGGATTTTGAATTGATATGGGCTGACGAACTGTTGTCACCCGTGGTCATTTTTTATTTCTTTTCCTCTAAACATTTTTACCTGGTGGCTGGTACATTGATCAGCGTTTCATTGAACTGGTGCATTGGTCCGTTCGAAAACCTGCTTAGCGCTTCGGTTGCAGTTTCAATGACTAATTTGTAATGGTATTAATCCGTTAGTCATTATATTTTACCAGCTTTGCCACAACTGTGGTATGCCTACAAACATTCATAAATGCTACCGGTCAGCCATGTCGTTTCGGGACAGTCATTATCCATACCTATTGCTGGATTTATGGTAGACATAACTAGTATGACGACACGGTAATTGTGTTCTTGATTGCTACGGTACATGTAGGTATCGACAGTAGGATGTAACTAGTAGGTACTGTGATCCATTATAATTATCGGTATTCACAGTCTTGTATGCTGCCGGCATTTGGTGCCATTCTCTTGTCAGACATGCATTATAACATCTTTATGTTATTAACAAAGGCGACAGCCTTGCATAGGTATGCTCGAATGGCGAGCTGATTGAATTGATTTCAAATTTCAATTACAATGATTTTGTGTGGATACCTTTGGTGGCCAAATATCCAATATGCCAAATCATATCCAAGACGTCGTGTCGGATGTCAGCTTTGATGCAGTCGGTACCTACAAACTACCGTAGATGAAATGGAACGAAGCTGGCTTTCGGTGCTAAGGTACCTATTGTCATTTGCCGCATGAGAACCTACACGTATCATAAGGAGCGTGTTTTAGGCACTCATATACCAACTTCAAATATTATTTTCGGCCTTCCTGTATGGATAAAATTATAACAGTGTGCCCTATCACTGAATACTGATCGTTTTTCTTCTAATCTAACCACAAAACCCATGGGGAAAAACACTCTCCACTGAAGTAATTGCTGTCAGTTCAATTTGTCTACAGTTGCATGCCTTCCCTCGCGAGTCGTTTCTGGCGGCTGCGCCGGGCCGTGTACTGCGTGGGTGTTGACTCGCTACAGGTGTATGTATAGGTGTGTAGTGTGTAGGTACTGTGTAGGTGCGCCGGCCGGGCGTGGTGCACGCTCCGTCCGTGGGTTCCCAGGCGGCCGCGTGCACTGTGCAACAGCGGCAGCGGTGATTGGCCGCGCCCCAATCTGCCCCGATCGCAGCAACCACCGGTTTGCTGTGGGCGGCAGTGCACACGGCACTCACGGCGCTGTGCGTGCCGTGCGCAGTCCATGCGGGGTCGACCGGGGGCCGGGGGGCTGCGGGAGCGACCGGCGGCCGCTCGGTGCTCCCGGCCGGCCCGTGAGCCGACAAACACTGCCGCCGTGATCGGAGCGAGGTCGGACTGCGCGGCCGGGCCCGTTTCCTGTCGACGACTGACTGACAGGCCCCGATTAGATGGCATCGCTCGATTACAGCGCCGATTGCATGACATATGAACGCCATTATCATCGCAATGGATCTTATCGTGGCCGGCAATAAAAACACCGGCCGACAAAAGTGTCAGAATCCCTCTATCACGGCACATCGGGCGTGCACGTCACCCAGTCAGCGGCGGGCCGCGTTTCTTTGGCCGCAGACGGTGGAATGCTGCCGCGCCGCGGCGGTCACATGCCGGCCCGGCCCGCCCGGTCGTGTTTCCGCTGTCGGCGGCTATGTCCCCGAGACGGCACGTGGCGTGTATCCGCTTATTGCCGCGACAAAAACACAACAAATGAGTGGCGCTGCCGTGTTGAGCGTCGGCCGGAGCGCCGGCGCCGCTCGCCGCGTGACGCCGGCCGTGTTTGTAGCCGGTCCTGCAGCCACGACAGGGCTGTCGGGGCCGGCGAGCCGAGCCATTGTGTCCCCGTCCCGTCCTGCGACTGACCCGCCGGTCGTCGGGTGCCCACCTCGGGTGCCCGCCTCGGGTGCTCACCTCGCCGACGGCTGCGGTGCTCGGAGTAGCCGATAATGCCGACTTCAGCAGCCAACACCACCCGATTTCTGCGCTCCGTATGCACTTCTTACCTCGACTATCTCGGTGTAACCGGGCCTTTCGACAGGCTACCAAAGCCACCAGTCCTCGCTGGCTGTGGTCGCGCTTATGCTTAAAAACTCCATTTAAAAGCCATTTGGCAGGCGTGGAACTGCGCTCACCGGACACATGAGTGTTTATTATATATGTACGGACACAGATGAGTGCTTATTATATAATAATATTATAGATACTGACCTGGCTGGGGGACGGTACAAAACTTCTAACACATCCCTGAGCTGCAAAACACGCATTATTTTTAGCTGAGAATGAATGGTTTATTCTCATCAACATGTTCACAAAGTAATCAAAAACCTATAACTCAGTGTGTCTCTAGGTCGTTGCCTATGTATTGCGGTTAACTCGGCTAGTTTTGATCGCTAGTGGTGAGTGCAGCCATGAGCGTTTATAACACTGCAACCCACTCCTTGTCACCTTCTGCCTATTTGAATGGCTCCGGCCGAAGGAAGAGGACGGGATAGCCTCCTCCCCGGGTCGGTGGCGGGCGGAGGACCGCCGCCCCCGGCCCCGCCGCCGATCCGCGGCCGATGTGGCGCTGCAGCTCCGCCGTTAATTGGCGGCACCGCCGACCGACCGGAGCGCGGTCCTTGTTAGTCGTCGGGCCGGGCCGCCCCGGCATGCCGGCCGCCGGCCAAAAATGACGCCCTGCAAATCACAGTCGGGTGCCTGGCCGGCCGGTCACGCCATCGGTGCCGTATCGCGGCCGAATCGCAGTCACAGCGCGCCTCATCGCAGGCAAATCGCAGCCACATCGTAGTCAAATCGGAGCCACATCAGTGGCAAATATCGGTGAAATAAGGCGGTGCAGTGCCGTCGGGCAGACGTAGCCGATCGGCGGCTTTCCTGCCCGGGACATCAGCCGTTACCAGCCTTCTGTTTGGCCCGTCATCCGTCCGTCATTCATCCGTAATCCGTCTGTCATTCATCCGTAATCCGTCCGTCACTCCTCCATAAGTACTGCGTCCGATTTCCGTCACCTCCCCACCTACAGATCTCTGCAGCTGGCGGCTCCTTCCTGCCCCAGTGCAGCGACGGGGCGTGTCCCGCCCCACGGCGCAGTCGAGCCTTCTCCGCTCGCCTGGGCCGCTTAACTCGCGTGCACACTCGATAATCATGTGCCTGACCAATGGGCGTTCATTATCGTGTTAGCGCCGAGTGATGCACTACCAAAACACACGTGTGGCGTTGCATACAGTGAATATTCGTATGCTCGTTACGAGTGTGGGCCGTCCAGTTTGTGCGCTGAGGCCATTGGGCTGTCGTTAGCTGTGTGCTCTGTCTGTCTGTCTTATTCTTGTCCCCTTTTCTTGTTAAAGTTTTGCCTTTTAGGCCCTTTTATATGTTCTTATGTGTGATCCCTTTCCCTACTTCTCCGTTTATTATTTTTTCCTGTTTGTGAGCATGGTGATCATCATTTCTTAGCTCTCTGCCTGTCACCCGTTTGTCTATCTGCCTGTCACCCGTATGTTGCAATGGCGTCTGCTCTGTCTGACAGCTGTCTCTGTCTCTCTGTGCCGGCAGTGCGATGGCGTTTCCGCCGTTCGGCTCGGCGGCGCACGGCGTGGCCAACGGCGCGGCGGCCGGCATGCTGCCCGGATACGCCGTCAGCCGGCCCTCCTACCCGGTCATGATGTCCGAGGCGTTCCCGCCGGGCGTGCCCTACGGCGCCGGTAAGTACCAGGTCCAGTACCCGCCGGCAGTGAGAGCGGGCAGCATGAGCCGATCACACACACGACTCTGGTCAATTATAAACATGTGCGCAGATGTCCAATTCCATCAAACAATACTGAGACCCTTTACGACGCTTGAGAGCAACGATCGACAGTACTCAAACATAAACCGCCAGCTAAAGCCTACCATTTGCCTGCTCTCCCGACACGGAGCACTGCCTATTCCTAAGACGCGAATGGTCAGCAGCGGAAAGTTATCGGAACGCACTACAAGTTGGTATAGAGAAGCACCAGCAGGTACTGCCCTCATCTCACTGCGTGGTAACTGGTAGGTATTCTTCTTTCGACAAAATGCTATCTGTCACTCGGAAATCGTAACAGCAAGACGCGCCTGGCTCAACCCCTTAGCTTGGGTTCATCGTGATATGCGTTTTCCTCCCAGTTTGGCAATGCTATACAAATGCTTATATTTGTTCCCAAAACAAACTTTTGCCTTTTGTTCCCACACTAGGCATATAATTTATTTCATGATAGACACAATCGAAGAAGTGGAGCATTGCGCGTCTCTGTGCAATAAGCTCTGATCGACTGATAGCATAGCATTCGAGTTATTCTCAGTTTTGTCGAAAAAAGAATGCATATCATGCAGTAACATGAGAGCTGTATTTCATTGGCACTATTGCAATACCACTCAGCGGAATGCTACCCTCTGTTCTATCTTTGAAAGTCGTTGAATAATATTTTGATTAGCAAAAAGTCATAGCTCGCTGTTTTGTAGGGGAGAGTGGGGCAAAGCGGCCACCCGGGGCAAAGCGGCCACCCATCGTTTTAGCCCTTCACAGCTGGCGTCAGTTCCAATTTATGGTTTCCAATTATACTTCTCTTCACGGTCGTTCGAATGAGCCAGACCGGGGTTTCAGGCCCATCACCATTGTTCTGTGAAACACGGAAAAGCATTTCTTGCCAGGTTACCAACTATGTTTACAATTTTTAAATGTTATGTTATTCCATAACCGTTTGGAATTTTTATAAGCGTTCTTGTCCATGCATTGCATGGTTATCGTACATGTATTCTACCAATTTTAATGTTTTTTACCCCACTAATAGCTAAGCTGGAATATTTTTGTCCCGGACGGTATGCGCGGGGCAAAGTGGCCGGGGCAAAGTGGCCACCCCCCAATTGGCCATAAGCTGCTTCCATCTGGATAAAAAACATTATTTATATTCAAATGTGTCGTCATGCATTCATCTTGGCCACTTTTCAGTTGCATGAGTTACCAAATAATGCAATTAAATGTTTTTTTTTCATGAAAATCCTTTCTTTGTTTACCTACAGATGGAAGATGATAAAGTAACCATCAATCCTCGCTTAACCTTGTCACCATCAACTACCCTAGTCGTACACGAGGCAACTATTTTGTTTCTCATGTCGGGACTTGAGAAGACGCCGGTGGCCGCTTTGCCCCAGGGTATGGGGCAAAGTGGCCAATATGCATAGGTTTAAAGTTTTGTCAATATCTTTCATATGTGAACGCCTTTGGAAATAAAACGCAGTTGAAACAAAAGCCAACTTAATAGGGATCACATTGGTATAGAAAGAATCTTTCCAAGTTTAAAAATCAAGCGTTGGCATCGTGAGAAGCGTTAGGGTGGCCGCTTTGCCCCACTCTCCCCTACTGTAGCCGCCCTCCTTTCTTTCCTGACTGTCTCGGCTCGGTCCCTGCTGAGTGTGCGGTCTGCTGGGGACCAGACCCCCCCCCCCCCCCCCCGTCAGGCCCGTCCGCTGAGCGTGCCGCGGCATCCCGTCGCCCGTCGCCCGTCGCCGCTGTCCCATCAATCCCCCCGCCGGCGGGGCGGCGCGGCCGACGCGGCCTTTTATCCCGCTCGGCGGCGCAGGTCGTTGCAGTGTTGTCATCTATGAAATTAATTTCTGATCAGCTTATATCATCCCCCGGGGCGGGCGGCCGCTCTGCGGGACCGGCCGGCCGGCGCATCTGCCCGGCTGCGGCGACTCCCATGTGACCCAATTTGGAATATGACGCCCGGATAATGCTTTGTCGCCACCCCTGGTAATTTGATTAGGTCCGATCTGGAGCCGCCACTGGGCGGGCCCGGCTGAAAGCGCTGCGAGTGCGCAAGCGGCGGTCGCGCGTGCCGCCTCAGCTGCTGACGCCGGTGCTGTCCGCCATTTGTACCACCCAATTAGGTGCCCAAGAGGGCGACAGTGATTGCGCGGCGCGCGCCGTCGCGGCGGCCGGCCGCGGGGATTTGTGCCGTCTGCCGCCGCGGCCTCCTCACCGGCGTCATTGTGACGGATTTCCCTGAACTGCGCCAAATAATTGGCTCGTTAGACACGTGCTGCTGCATTATTTACCTGTCTGGGATAATACGCGGCGGTTTTGCCGGTTTTCTGGTCGACTGGACGGTATTGGGTGGGCGTATTTTTCCACGTCGCTGTCGCGGAGCGTCTCACGCGACAGGAACTGGGCGCCCGCCGCCGGGATTGGCGGGATGGGAGTGGGGCGTGAGGTACGCCGGTCCGGGCACGGCCCGGGCACTCCGGAGAACGGCCGAGTGGTGGTCTCGAACTACATGTATTGTGATGGAGAAATTCGTGCTTCTGGCGTTCGACGAGTTTCTGCTACTGGCTTGTAAAGGTTAAACTCCCCTTGGCCTTATCCTTTTCTGAACACAACTACCTGGTTGAAGGCTGTATATAGTGGATAGCATGTAAAACTAAGCTATCAACCTTTCCTGCGGCGTCTTTTCATTGTGCCGGTGCTGTACCCAGCAGCCGTTGCAGCTGGGGGTCACAGGCCACGTCCTACCCCGCTGCGGTTTTCAGTCGGCGCTGTCACAGTCGCTCGTGGGACTCAGCACCTTTGTGCGGGGCCGGAGCGCTCCTATTGATTCCGCGAGCTGGGGAAGCCGTATATGCGAGCTGCGGCGCTGACCAGGCTGCCCCGGCGGGCCGCGCTCGCCCGGTCCTCCCTCCGCTCCCCTCCCGGGCACCCGCCGCCGACAGGGCGGGTCGCTGACACCGAGCTGTCGCCGCCGGACACATGTCGACCGCCAGCGGTTTCAGACGACACCGGAAACCCTTCGCGGGCCCTGCGGCCGCTCAAATTCTAACGGCCATCAGAACAGTTAAAGGTCGGCGACGTAGGCTTCAATTCGTTTTGTAATTTGTGTGACTGTCAGCAATGCTTGAAATATTACTGGCGTTTATTGGCGGCATTTCTTATCCCTGTTGTTTACCATTCCCGGACCATCTTCTTAAAATATGTACGATGAAGTCAGCTGCGAGGAATCGATTCTATCAGCCCATCAGCGCGGGTCAAAGCACGCAAATCGACCAGGCCGTCTGTCTGCTCTTCCCCTAAGGCCGTCTCAGCGGCGTTTGTGCTTAAATATTCAGTAAGGCACACGTCAGCTCTTTTTCAGGTGATAAAACGAAAACAGAGAAAGGCTTGTAGGCACATGTCATCTTCACTTTTCGGCGATTTTGCCTACTCTTCTAGCAGTCCAGTGTTGTATTTGTACGATGTACGCGTTTGGCTTCCTTTGGACCACAGTGGATGAGCCACCGTCTCGGTCAGTTCGGCCGTAGGCTTCGGTCTGACTCTGTCTCGATGGTGACTCTTAGTCACAGCGTGAATCACGAGAGTCGTGACAGACGAGCAGACAGACCGAGTCTCAGTCAGCGTCCGACTCACCGGCAGACCGACTCTTATTGAGAAAACCATGCCGACAGACGGACCGATCCGACTCAGACAGCCCTCCAGCTCCTGGACGAGATGTCGCTGTGTCTCCGCTGCTCCTTGCCTTTCCGGCTGACCCGGCCCGACTCGGTCCCTGGACGAGATGTCGCTGTGTCTCCCCAGCTCCCCCTGCCTTTCCGGCCGACCCAGCCCGGCTCGGCGGCCTGTCGGCCCTCCAGTCAATGCCGGGTTCGCTATGAATGCTCGCCGGTTTATTGTCGGCTATCGGGAGGCGATCTGTGGCCGGCGGCCGGTGTCTCCGTCTCTGCTCACGGTGCACTGTGCAGTGTGCAGGGCCCGGCTCACTGTGCACGCCGGGCATGGCGCGGCTGTCCCCCCCCCCCCTACTCCCCCGGTGATCGGTCAGACATCTGGGCGTGGCACGGCGACCGGGACGGCCTCAACTGCAGACGGACAAATGGACAGACAGACAAACGGACAAACTGACAGACAGACACACGGTCACAGATAACACCACGCCCAGTTATGTTTTGCACGTGTTGGTCAAACATGTTCCCTAATCATCATTCGCTGATCTCATAGGACCGGGTGTGCCACTATGTCATCTCACTGACACAGTACCTATGTCACAGTGTGTCACGGTGCTACTGTCTGACACTCTGCCACTGTGTCACCTTTCTGTGGCACCTCTCTGAGTCTCTGACACAGTGTGTCACAGTGTGTCGCTGTGCCACTCTGTCATCTCTCTGATACAGTGTGTCACTGCTGTACCACTGTGTCAGTCACCCTCTGACGCTGTGCCACTGTGTCATCTCTCTGACACAGTGTGTCTCTGCTGTAGGTACCACTGTGTCACCCTCTGACGCTGTGCCACTCTGTCATCTCTCTGACACAGTGTGTCACTGCTGTACCACTGTGTCATCTCTCTGACGCTGTGCCACTGTGTCATCTCTCTGACACAGTGTGTCGCTGTGCCACTCTGTCTGACGCTGTACCACTGTGTCACCCTCTGACGCTGTGCCACTGTGTCATCTCTCTGACACAGTGTGTCACTGCTGTACCACTGTGTCACCCTCTGACGCTGTGCCACTGTGTCATCTCTCTGACACAGTGTGTCACTGCTGTACCACTGTGTCATCTCTCTGACGCTGTGCCACTGTGTCATCTCTCTGACACAGTGTGTCGCTGTGCCACTCTGTCTGACGCTGTACCACTGTGTCACCCTCTGACGCTGTGCCACTGTGTCATCTCTCTGACACAGTGTGTCACTGCTGTACCACTGTGTCAGTCACCCTCTGACGCTGTGCCACTGTGTCACCCTCTGACGCTGTGCCACTGTGTCATCTCTCTGACACAGTGTGTCACTGCTGTACCACTGTGTCAGTCACCCTCTGACGCTGTGCCACTGTGTCATCTCTCTGACACAGTGTGTCACCTCTCGGCAGGCGCCGGCGGTAACGGTCGGAAGCAGCGCCGCGAGCGGACCACCTTCACACGACAGCAGCTGGACATTCTGGAGGCGCTCTTCCAGAAGACGCGCTACCCGGACATCTTCATGAGGGAGGAGGTGGCCATCAAAATCAACCTGCCCGAGTCGCGCGTCCAGGTGGGTGCCTACTGCTGACGTCCAGCTGACGTGGGACAGGCGTGACCGTGGGACAGGCGTGGGACGTTCTTCTGGCGCTGGCTACTGATGGCACAGTGATTGGAGCAGTGGAAAAAAATGCCCCCAGATTGACACTTGCGCGCTTGTTAATTTGGACAGCGATGGAACATTTGGAGAATTGCATGCTGATTTTTGTTCCGGAGCTGTAAGAACTGCGGCTCATTGTGCAGGAAGCCGGCGCGGTGTTGGCTGACCGGTGTTTGAAGCGGTCGGTCGGCGGTAACCGATCCGCTGTCACTGCGGCCGCTGTCTCGGTGACAGGGCGTCAGGTGACACACACAGCTGAGGGACGGCGTGTTTTCCTGCCCGCCCGCCGCCCTATGCACGGCACATCTGCAGCGGCTGGGTAAAAACGCCGCCGCTGCATTGTTGACCGCCGCGCCGCGCCGCGCTGCGGGGGGAGGAGGGGAGGGAGGGAGGGGTCACCGCTGACCAGGTGTGCCGCCGGCAGTCGATGTGACGCACGCGCCGCCGCCGCCACCCCCTGGACTCGGACATAGACGGACAGGTGTCGCGGCAAACGGGTTTTTAACCAGTCGATAGCGATATCGATGTGACAATCGGACACCGCGAATAAATTAACAATGATTAGTGTCAGCGGCGCTCAGCAGGATCACATGTCTTTTGGCTACAGGCTGCATTGTTCTAAGGCGTCATTGCACGGCGAGGGTTATGCCAATTTTTCACATAACTTAGCACCTTCATAGTGAGTGTTTATGGACACCCGCAATAGCCAATGAGAATAAAGTTCACCATTGAGCTTTAGGTAGATAATTTGACTTTATCACATTTTAATAATATTTTTAATCATCTTTTACATCCGTTATAAACGACACCACTAATTACCATGCTATAACCAATAGGTATATAAAGAGTCAAAGACAATGCTACAACCAATATATGTGACGGACGCTTTTTGGCAACATCGTTAGTGCCAGACCAGCCGTAGTACGGACCATCGACCAATGTCAAGCATAGGTAATTGATAGCTAAAGAAAAACACTTGCTGCCTTATCGTTTCATCAGTCCCAGTGAAGTCTGAGGCTGGTCCAAATCACATGCAGTAGGAGCGGCGGACGGAGAGCGGTCCCCGGCTCTCACACAGCGGAGAGTGGATGGCCCACCGGCCGGCCGCCGACATTGAGTCAGTGTGGGTCGGCCTCTGGAGCCGACGGGTCTGCGCCGGCCGGCCCGCCGACGTGCCGGGACATACGGAGCCGCCGCTGGCCCGTCTGGGCAGGGGTAGGGGGGGGCGCACAGTGACCGTAGTGGGGAGCGGGGGTGACTCGGCAGCCACACACTGCCCGTCGTGGGCAGTGCTCGGCGGTACACATGGCACCGCACCGGCCAAAGGCTAGTCGTGAGCCACCACTCTGGCCGGAGACTATTCCAGTCTCACCCAGCCGCCTATCGTTTGTTGTTTCCTGCTGACACCGCCCTCCTCGCTCCGCAGGTGTGGTTCAAGAACCGCCGAGCCAAGATTCGCCAGCAGGCCAAACAGACGACCAGCAACGGCTCCGGCGGCGGCGGCGGCGGCTCGGGCCCCGACGTCAAGCCCAAGGCCAAGCCGCGCACGCGCACGCCGCCCACCGCGTCGACTCCGACGCACGCGGCGGCGGTGACGCCGGTGACGACGGGCACGCCGTCGCCGCCGGTGGTGGGTCCGCGCGACTCGCCCTACTCGCCGCCGGTGTCGTGCTCGGCGCCGCCGGCCATCAGCTCGGCGTCCGCCGTGCCGCACCAGGTCAGTCCCCGGAGGGGAGGCGGGGCGGGGACGGACAGGGAGGGAGTCCGCCGTGCCGCACCAGGTCAGTCCAGTCCCCGGCGGGGAGACGGGGCGGGATGGGACAGAGAGGGGGTCCGACGGGCACCAGGTCAGTCCCCGGCGGGGAGGCGGGGCGGGAGTGTCAGAGAAGGGTCCGACGGATACCACCAGATCAGTCCCCGGTGGGGAGACGGGGCGGGATGGGACAGAGAGGGGGTCCGACGGGCACCAGGTCAGTCCCCGGCGGGGAGATGGGGCGGGAGGGACAGATGGGGGGTGCGCCGGACACCACCAGGTCAGTCCCCGGCGGGGAGGCGGGGCGGGGAGGGACAGGGAGGGGTCCGCCGGACACCACCAGGTCAGTCCCCGGCGGGGAGACGGGGCGGGGAGGGACAGGGAGGGGTCCGCCGGACACCACCAGGTCAGTCCCCGGCGGGGAGGCGGGGCGGGGAGGGACAGGGAGGGGTCCGCCGGACACCACCAGGTCAGTCCCCGGCGGGGAGACGGGACGGGAGGGACAGGGAGGGGGTCGGACGGACAGTATTTAGGTCAGCCTCCGAGCCGCGGCTGCGCCAGCCCCTCCGCGGCCGGCCGGTCACCGCCGTCTGTCTGTCCTTACGACCGGTGTATGAGGTCCAGCGCGGTCAGAATTAGAAATAGCTGGCAGTATGGGCGGAGGTGCGCCGCTCTGCGGTCGGAGACCGTCGCCGCAGACGGACGGCCTGTCAGCGTGTGCGGCTGACGGCAGCCGAGCGGCGGGTGGTCGCCTCAGTCACAGGGGCCACAGACCTGGCCCGGCCGGCACCGCGCCAGACGCCCGACCAGCTCCTGGAAATTCCACAGCTCCAAAAGCATCTGCCGTTAACGCCAACATAGAATGTAAAACCGGATAGCATCCGTTTCAATAATTTCAGTTAGAAAACTTCCAACGGTGTTTTCTGTCCAATTTTCAGCCCGCTCTAACGTTTCTCCCCCTCTCCCGCTGCACAGAGTTACGGCGGCGGCTACAACAGCATCTGGAACCCGGCGGCGTCGCTGGCGCCCATGGGTGACCTGACCGGTCAGGCGGGCATGGAGCGCTCTTACCAGCCCAGTCAGCCGGCGGCCAACGCCTACTCGCAGTACGGCGCCTACTACGGCAACATGGAGTACCACCTGAACTCGCACGGCCAGATCAACCCGCAGGTAAGGCCACCACTGCAGGCGCACTGCGCTGACGGCCAGCGGGCACCGGACGAGCTGGGACTAGTGGGCTCAGCCTGGTCGGGAGGGATGTGTTCCAGGCGAAAGGGATGAGCAGTGGTGTGGAAGTCGTGTGACCCACCCGGGGCAGGATGGCAGGTCCGGGTGCCGTCCAGGGAGAGGTAGTCTGGGAGCTCGCCATTGACCAGGCTCGTTGATGGAGCGGGACTAGGATTTTGAAGTCGCTTTCAGGGCGGGATGGGGGAGCCCATTGGCCATGGGACTCATGTGGGACTTCCTAGTGGAGACGTGCCGGGTCTCGAGGCCCGACCCAAGCTGGCGAAGAGGAAGCTCCGGGACTCGGGGAGCCCAAGAACACGGCCTCGGTCCGATGCGTCCGATGTTGCTGCTCGGCCGGCCACTGTGGCTGTTCGCCTGGCCGCTATGGCTATCCCGGCGAGCGATGTGGCTGTGCCGGTCCCCGACAGATGGGGTCGTTGGCCCGGCCGGTGCGACTGTTGGGCTGTAACTGTTCGCCCGGCCGCTCTGACTGTTCCCTGCCCGGTGTGGCTGTTGGACTGGCCACTGTGACTGTTCGCCCGGTCGATGTGGCTGCCCGCCCGGCTGGTCGCGACTGTTGGCCTGGCCACTGTGACCGTTCGCTCGGTCGATGTGGCTGCCCGCCCGATGTGGCTGTTGGGCTGGCCGGTGTAACTGTTCGCCCGGCCGGTGTGACTGTTCGCTCGGCCGATGTGACTGTTCGCCCGGTCAGTCACGACTGTTGGCCTGGCCACTGTGACTGCTCGCTCGGCCGATGTGGCTGCCCGCCCGGCCGGTGGCGACTGTTGGACTGGCCACTGTGACTGCTCGCTCGGCCGATGTGGCTGCCCGCCCGGCCGGTGGCGACTGTTGGACTGGCCACTGTGACTGCTCGCTCGGCCGATGTGGCTGCCCGCCCGGCCGGTCGCGACTGTTGGCCTGGCCACTGGCCACTGTGACTGCTCGCTCGGCCGATGTGGCTGTTCGCCCGGTCAGTCACGGCGCGTCGGTGGGTGTGTTGGCGCGGCCGTCCGTCCGTTCGTCGCGTGTTGGCTATCGGGCCTATATCGGCCTCTGAGATCGGTATCTTCCCGGGCTGCGGCTGGACGTTTTCCTCGTCCCACGCGGCCGATGTGTCAGCAGTGGACGGATCGCTGTCCGTCGTGCCGGCCGGGTGAGCCGGCTGTATGTCGGTGACCGTCCCCCTGGACGTCCGGCCGGGCGCAGAGAGCCACCAGGCCGGACAGCCGGTGGTTGTGGCCGGCCACTACTGGAAATACCGACGGGACGGCAGACGCCGCCGAGCTGCGCGTGACCGGCCCGGATCTCTGGCCGGCGCTGCGGTCTCCGCGGCGAAATTGAGCCACTCTGAAGGGAGTTCTCGGAGGGCCATCTGCCCGGCTGACGGCGGGCGGACACAGAGTGGCCGCACCGTGCCACACCTGCCGACCCGGACCCGCTGCGAGCACCCCGGCTCCTGACGGGGGCGCTGAGATGTCGGGCACGGCAGAGACTGAGCCGGACGGCCTGGTTAGGACTCGGGCGTCTGTGGCAGCCCCCGTGCTGCCGCTGAGGTCCGAGAGAGGTGCCGCGGAGGGCAGGAACTGAGCCGGACGGCTGATGTGCGCCGGATGTCGGCAGCCTGTCTGCGCCACAGATCCCGGGAGGATGTGGGTGCTAGGTAGCCGGCTAACCGAGGTATTTAGGCTGGGCTCAGGATTTGGCGCATTCCCATGGTAGTTAAGACACGATAAGGTCCCGGGACTCGCGTGTAGCGGCCGCTCTATGCGCCGCTGTGATATTCGTGGTGATGTTACACCAGTGTGGCGGACCGAGTGGACTGGTCGCAGCCGAGTCACTGCTGACCAACTGTCTGTTCTTGTTCCAGGTGAGCAGCCACCTGAACACCATGAGCCAATCGCAGCAGGGCGCCGGCCCGGCGGCGCGGCACGGCCTCGGCTCCGAGTTCGACTACCGCTACCAGAACTTTCAGGTGTTGTAGGGGCCTGGCGCACCGGTCCACTGCCGGGCGGAGGGAGGCAGCGCGCGCCACCGCGCCGCCCCCCGGCCGACACGGACCTGCCCCAACGCCAGGAGAGTCGCCGGCCTCCCAGCGCGTCAGCTGCTGAGGCGCGGCCATAGTGCCGAGCGGCCTGCCGAGAGCGGTGCCGGCGGACGGCCGCCACCGGTCGCCGCCAGCTCCACGTTGTGTTTCTATGTGCGCGAGTTAGCGGCCGCGCGCGCCGCGACGGCGCCGCACCGTCAGCGTTTCCTGTGATAGAGAGGACACCAGCTTACCTAGACTGTGCTTAGATGAGCGTAGCGCGCAGTGGTCACCAAAGACGCGAGGTCGGGGGGCGCGGACGGCCCGCCGGGGGGCCCGCCTCCAGTCGGCCACAGCCGGCCCTTGGTGTTCGTCAGCCCCAGAGGCGCGGCGCGCGAGCGGCCGATGCGTTTGATCTTCATAGATGTGACACGAGTGTGTATGTGTGTGTGTATGGCGCGACTGACCTGGTGTGACGCGGGTCGCCGGGGTCGCCGGGCGGGCCGCCAGCTGCAGCGGGGCCCGCGGGGTCGGACGGTCAAGCCGAGCCATGGGCGCGTGTGTGTGCTGGGGTGTGTATATAGCAGTGCGTCGGCCGCGGGCGCCAACGACGCCCGGCCAGCCCCGGCGGAGACGCTTGCTGTGGCGCCGAGCGATTGTAGGAAACTGTTGAATAAGTACAATTTGGGGACAGCAGTGCACGTATGTGAAACGAATAAAAACAGAATGTAACCGAGTCTGTATCGGCCGCTGAGATGAAGGAAGCGCGAATGAAGGAAGAGAGATGAAGGAAGTGCGAATGAAGGAAGATAGATGCGCCTTCGGATGACCTGATGAAAGAATGGCGATGCTAACACTAAGAATATAGGCTTACGTATCCAGTCGCGATTGTTTTTCGGTTCGATTCTATCACAATTGCATTCGCGATTGGAGTCGGCGCCCTCCAATCGCAAAGGCAAGCGGGGGGGGCCATGGCCCAGTGCCCCCCTGCCTACGCCCCTGGATACTCACTATAGGTAGCTTTATGTTCATCTTATGAAACCCAAGAATCAATCAAAAAGCACAAAGTGATAGGCATATGTCGGCATCGTGCTTTCGTCACATTCGCCGCCTTTATCATCTTCTATGTAATGGTGTGATTCCGAAGCACGTAGTTTGTGTTTTTTTATGGTATTGCAAACTTATGCATCTTAAAGTTACCGAAGTTAACTTATCTCATTCCGTTTTCGAAAACGCACTTCTCTCCGCCACTGAAGCGTGGATAATGAAAACGTACAGTCTCAAACTTCCGTTTCAAATAGTTAGGGAGTGCAAACAGCTTGCAATTGCAGTAGGTAGAGCTATGTATGTTTGCGAGTATTCTGCAAGACAAGACGGATGCATGACTTGTGTGATGCGCCTGAACGTACGGCTGCACGTTAGCGTGTCGCCTGAACGTACGGCTGCACGTTAGCGTGGCGCCTGAACGTACGGCTGCACGTTAGTGTGATGCGCTTGAACGTCGCACGTTAGCGTGTCTGGGCAGCTCAAACATCAAAGGACTCGGAACGCCAATCAAGAAAATTCGCTGAAAGTTTGGGAATAAAAACATGATAGGGTAGCCAGCACATGAACTAGAGTTTTGTTGTACCAAACGCCCTGCACCCCGCACTTGCAAAGCAAGGACGTCCAACGAAACCGATCACATTGTTCGTTAAGCCGTGTAACAATGTTATGTTTTACATTGGTATGAAGGCTGTAGCAAGTGGTGTCCCTTTTCCTCCAAACTATCATGTCAAATGGTTTGGATCACGGCTCGCGCACCCAACTATCTAATTTCGGTGTTTTCTTGATTAAAAGTCGTTCTTCAGCTGCGGTTTTTCAGTATGCACGTGTATATGTAGTACATATACCCTGGTACATACCTACAACAGGATCGGCGATCGGGCCGTCCCGCTGTAAGCGAGCGGGATGCCGCACGCTCAAACACCGCGATACATACTTTTATATCCATACCTTTATACATACCTGTATACGCCTTAATGATGGTAGATCTTCTGTGGGATTTTTTGATATTATCGAAAAGTCCATCCATCTGTTTTGGTCCTAGAAGTAAAATAAACTTCACCAAAAAAAACAGCTCAAGGCACTTATCATATTCCAGACCGATTTCGGCACGTTTCAGTACCATCATCAGTGGGCATACATGTTACATTGTATTCATTGTATTCATGTAGCCGACATCACAAATGCCAATTGGCCCTGGTGATGAGGTGCAACACTTGCACAATCATGCAACACTTTTAACACTTGCATGTGCTCAAACGCAAATGCACTTAAACATATACACATATAATTACACACACACTCCTAAATTTTAGCTTTCATAACACGTACGTGTTTGTGACGATATATCAGTAATCAGTATGAGCTGTTTTTGCAGCAGCAAACACCATTTTCACAACAACTAGCATGTATACTATAGTTAGGTAATGGTGTTGCTATCGCATATATTGTTTGTGCAGTTTGTTTTTACTAATTTCTCAGATATATCATATTTATCAAATATGATACCTACCTATAGTATATGTCATGTACAGTCTTTCTTAAAAGTACCGCGCAAAGTGACGGTGGATCCATCAAGCCTGACCGAGAAAGGGCCTGCTATAGTTTGAAAGTCACCGAACGACCAATTGACCTGGGGAATTGACATCCTCGTCCATTCTCTACGTCAATTGGTCAGTGACTTTCAAACTAAAGCATGCCCTTTCTCGGTCAGGCTTGATGGATCCATCGTCACTTTGCGCGGTACTTTTAAGACAGACTGTACATTAATGATACATGACAATACAAAGCTAATACAAAAAAATCGTAGTCGTTCAAAATTCATAAATCGCTACATCGCTGCAACACTCGGATCAATCGTTACAGTCTTTTTAAAATCGCTTGAGACTCTCACTGACCTATTTGAAAAAGATGCCAAAAACTCAGGTCCTTCATACCTCAAGGCACTTCAAAAATAAAGCACCAGGTGGTGGACACTGTCTATACGTAACAATCTGAAGGGGCACAGCTGAGTTTTTGCCATTTAAGCTTGGTTTTTCCCCATGTACATATGTACAAAGATTCCAGCGTTCTAAGGTCCATGGCTGTTGGCGGTCTTCCTAGTAGGTATATGAAAATCCGAAATTGAAAAGCGGGTGTTACACTGATCTGAATGATCTCTAACACATGACTGGGGAGGAGATGTCAGCATTTTAACCGTTCTCTCAGAGATTCCTAAATGCTGGCTTACTCTGGTGTTCAGGCGTGCACTGGTAGAACCAATGTACGAGCCCCCGCACGAGGGGCAACAGAATTTGTATATCACGCCAGAGCAGCACATTTTGGGAACTCTATCTTTGTATTTGAAAAAAGAGCCTATCGTCAACCGGTTCCTCAGAATGATTCTACGCTGGAGTACGAAAAACATCATCTCACGCTCTCAGTCCCAGCGGATAAAAACAACACCTAAGAAATTGAGCCTAGTAGTCAGGTAGTCAGTAGGTCAAGGCCCTCTAACCCTGTAGGTAGTCAGTACCTATATCGGTAATAGCATGTTTTAAAGCTTGAGACTGTTCTCCAAGGTACGGGAAAGTCACGTATTTGCTGAGGTTGGGCACATCAAAAGATACTGGTACCCGATCGTATTGTTTGTTGAGGAATTTCTTCACTTCGAAATGGATAAGAGGAGAAGGAAAACCATTATGTATTTTTGAAGAAAGATCTCAGGAAGTTAAGCTCACAATCAAAAAGTTGATAACTGGAGCATAGCTTGTAAGCTCTGTGGATGGCCGATTGCAATACTGCCGCCTTGATCGCCTTGGGAATATGATAACTGGTCATTTCCGGTCATTTCCATCTGGAATATCATTTCCGGTCTGATCATTTCCGGTCTGGAATATGATAGGTAACTGCCTTTAGCTGTTTTTTGGTGAAGTTTATTTTACTTCTACGACCAAAACATGAACTGCTAATAGTTTGCTTCGTGGAGCCTAGAGGTTCATGTACAGTAGGTCTACAAAAAAAGTCCCCCGCTCCAGAGGCGGCCGGCCGGCCGAACCCCCGGATTCCAGCCCCGACTCTATTGCGCAGGCCACGGCAGCGACACGGGTCAGGTCGCGGCGCCCGGCGAGTGGGTCAGTTGGCGGCGGCCGGCCGTGGAGTGAGGACGCCGTGTGAGGGGCGCAGAGATGCCGCAGTGCTGAGGAGGGGGAAGATAGTGACTCTGCACTATGCCGGAAATTATGCCTTTGTGATCTAAATTAAACACCCGCAGACGCAGTGCATATCCTCCCTCGCCCCATTCCTATTTTATCATAACCCTTCAATAATCCGTAATGACCGTTCAACGCAAGCAAGCAAACAAAACAACCCGTTTAGCGGCGACATCATCTCGGATAAAAAAGCGACAGTAATGATTAAAATAGACATAGCGCGAGAGCAAATCGAGGGGTATATATGTATCACATACCCAGCATTTTATTCCCATCTAGCAAATCAAGATTGGGGATCTTGTCCAACAAGTCAGCGGCCGTTCTAGACACAGATAAATGCTTTGTTTTCGGTCGCATCATTATCTGCAATAATTCGAAGCGAGGTTTAACCCTCGCCGGCCGAGAAGAAGGGGTGAATGCCGCCACCATGTATTTTTTTATTTTTGCGGTAGCTCAAAGCACACTGATGATAGAAGGCTGACATTTCATATGCCTTGCATTTGATTCACGCTGGATCATTTGACATCAACCACGTTTTCAGGTCAGGTCACTTAACCATGGCGTCTTAACCCTCGCCGGCCGAGGGGGGGGGGGCAATAGGGTTTTTTTCGCGATAGCTCCGAACACGCTGGCGATAGAAAGCTGAAACATGGCATACCTGAACTTTGATTCAAGCCGGATCTTTTGACACCAACCGCATTTTTGGGTCAGGTCAGGTCACTGACCTATGGCGTCATAAGTGAGCCTTTGCACGGTCTTCAGATGTCGCAACTTCGCAACGCCCTCACTGCCAGAGGAGATGTCACAGGGAAATGAAACTTGCAGGATCTAATATCCATTATGAGTCTCACAGCTTGTTTATCTCGGATTTTTCCTAAAGGTCATATGAGGTCAGATCATTTTCGTGACCTCACCATTAGATATAAGTCAATGGGGGAAAAATGAAAACTGCTATTCTGGCGCCGGGAACGATCTCCAACTACCTCAAGCACACAGAATCGTGATTTGATGCACTCCTTGCAAGGTTAGATGCGTCACTTTTGCAATGTTGACCTTGCGTGGCGTCATTTATGACGTCATCAAGGTCATATTAGTTTCTCGTCAATAACTCTTGAACAAATTAAGCTAGCGAGTCGGGAAAGGCACCAATGGACTCAGGAAGACCTGCCGAATCGAATGATATGCAACATGACCTCTTTCGACCAACTTCGTGACCTGGGGGTGCTGACCTGACCTTGACCTGAGGTCAACACCCCAAGTTGACCTGACCCGGACAAAAAGTATATCATTCGACGCGCCTGAGCAAGGCGAACACGATGCTGCCAAAATCGCGGCTCTGCGGCCGTTTTTGCGAAGTTATTCACCAAAAACTGAACCGTACCTTGGGGCACTTGACCTGACCTCAGAGGTCACCGGTAGACCTAGGACCTTAAAATCGGGTACCAATCTTTGCGTCTCGTAACGGCGCACACGCTCGTTTTTTCCGCGACGCGCTAG